AGGCTGTCGAGATTTCAGGAAGGGACGTGAACGTTCGAGAAGTTGACGTGTTACTAGCGTCACATGACCTCCGCTGTCGTAACAGTATATTAAAAAGTTATGCATAAAATAAAAACATTATAGGCTTTACTAAAATCATTCACTCTTCTGTTTTTGTTTGATATGCTTTTTTAGAATTGTAGTGTAGATCACTACCACCAAAGTCTATATAGTTTATTCCAACTATGTATACTACAGCAATATGTGCATATGATACCAATTTAGTCACATTTTAAATCAAACACTACCGTTAAATCTATATGCATGCTGAAACAAATGTATATCTGAAAAAAATTTAATTCCGAGATGATAACTTTTTAAAAATAGTATTTGACACTGTTAGAATAATTTTTGCACTGGCTCTTCCACCACTTTAATGTGGGATTTTAGTATTTCTGTGTGAAGAAGTGAGTTATTGTCTCAGAAGTTAACATTTTCTTAATCTGAAAATGAATTTCCAATAAATATTTACCTCCATATATATTACCACTTGACCTCTCGTGTCCTGTGCACCTTTTCTTTGTCTTGCTTTATTTAAGAATGAAGTTATCATGAGCGCAAATAGCACTAATGTGTTTATTTAATGGCCAACAGAATCTGATCCAGAGTGATTTTGTGACTATTTACTTGTTGAAATAGTTTGAAATTTCTTCATCTTCCTATACTAAGGTTGATTATTTATTCACCTAAAATATGAATTTTCATAAAATATATATGATTTTCATGGTGATTGAAAATTAACAATAAAAATACATTTATACTGGAACTCTGCTTAATGACCAACTCATTGAAACAATCAAAGTTTCAAAGAACCAAATTTTACTTCCAACATTTTTAAGTTTTTTTACTTCCGTAATAAAGAAAATCCTGCTATTACACAACAAACAAATCTTTTATTATTAATTATGACCAGTAAATCCATACACATTTCTATTGACCTTACACCCCATCAAAATGATCACCAAAGTAATTCAACAGTTGACTGGTTAGTTACCAGACATAACTGTTGGTTATACATCTGTAATATGTACAACAGAACTATGCAATTTAATTGTTTAACTGTGAGCAGAAATTACCTTGTCTGCTTACCTTGATTAGTGCCACGTCAACTAGTTGATTAATTAAGATTACAGTTAAATCATTGTCATGAAAATACTCAACTAATTGAAATTAGGATTTTTGATTATTACTATTTTTGACAATTCCATCTAACCAAGTAATCTGTACAAGTCAGTTAATGGGGTCATCTCTTAGCAAATACCACTCATCATTCTGCTGTAATGTACAATTCAAATGAAACTGGGCTATTCTGTTGTGGTCTACCTGATGAAACTTGGAGAGTTTTTTGTACTTATAGTGTAAATAAGATTTTTATTTTTGTCTTAATACATATATACAAATGTCAGATATCTGTTACCAAGACCACCCTGTTAATAATGCCAATTTTCATGAATCCCACAGTTGGTATTTATAGTGGAGTCACAATGTACTGAAGTAATTGCATGAAAGGTATTCATGTATGTGTCTTTCAATTCAATCTTACAGCATCTCCTAATTAAAACCACAGTCATAAGGCTACTGAAATGATTTAACAGTTTAAGAACCTATTAACAACCACATTTGCTAGTATTTCTTCAGTGGTCAATAACCTCTAATGTATGCATGAAATTGTAATGAAATATCTCAAGTTATTTCCCATAATGCTTGAATTGAACAGTATTTTTTCAGCCTTGTCTCCATCTACTTGAATTTGGATTACCACGGCTAAAGATTTCGAATTTCATAGACTTTTTAATTTTAACAAAGTGTATAAATTTAAATCCATAGAGCTTTCAGCTGTTCTGAGAGTATAAAGATAATGAAACATAGGAACTCTACTAGATTTTATTCAGACAAAACTGCTGTGGTTTTATTGACCTTCTCATAACATATCGTTGACTTTAACGTTAACTTTGACCCTGTCACTACATCACAAGATTTTTCTCAAAGCTTAAAAATCTTACTTATATTAAATTACATTGTAGCTTTTAGCAACTGGCTGAATGTGTTTATTTTGAATTGAAATTGAAATGAGAGTGTTTGAAATGAACTGTTTCTTAAATAAAAAAAAAAATTTATTAATCTACAAAACACCTGCTTATTAGACTGCATAATGCTAATTGAAGTTTAATGGATGTGTTTCTAAAGAAATGACTAACTTCAGAAATAATACTATTTGTTCTAAATCATTGTTTCTGTTTTCACGTTTTGGAAGATATTTCTTTTAATTTTTGATCAACAGTGTAAACACCTGATGAAGAGAAAATTAAAGAATATTGATTTAAATAATTTAATTTCTGACATTAGTTATTTGTTTATCCAGAGATTATAAAAGACATGGGCATAGCTAGATATGTATCTTTGGGAGGCTTATGCCCTCAGAGTTTTAAATAAAGTTTGAAGTAACTGTTAATCCTTGTTACAGATTTTGAGTTCAAATAACCCATTCATGGGATTTGTAACAGTTGGAGATTTGTCTGAGTTTATAGTATGCACAATGTATAGTACATGTATTTAAAATGTTTAATATTTACCCCCCATTTAACATCCATTAAAATTTTTAAACCTTTAGAAGTAGCATGATCAACAGTGTAATGGAATTAGTCTAAGACTCAAATAAGTAAATAAAATATACAAATTTATTTGCTGTGGTTTACCTTTTCAGGTTCCATTCTGCCCTCCAAAGCAACCACCTCCTGATATTTGCGTCCCTGATTCACAGTTTGAGAGTGATATGTTGTCATTGTTCCATAGTCAAGTGTTCACTGATGTCATATTTCTTTGTGGAAAAATAGGTTTTTCCGCCCACAGAGCAGTGTTAGCTGCAATTAATGGTTCATTTTTCAAACTCTTCACCATGGACCTATCACCAGATATTTCAACATCTGTCCGCAGCTCAAGTGAGTCTAGTATGGTAAGCTGGGTTTTCTCCTACCTAAGTTTCAGTTTGAGTAAAAGCAAACAAAAAGTATATAGAAAAATGATGATTTTGTAGTACTTACGATGTTACAAAATTGATTTGTTTATGCCTATCATACTTGCTAAGCCATATTTATTCTTACAAGTGGAGGAGGAAGACAAATTAATTTTTGGTAATTTCAAAGATGCATTTTAGAAAACCAAAAAAATTATCAAATTACTATACTGGTACACATAAAACCACTATAATTTCTCTGGCTTTCTAACTAAGCTGTAGGTGGGTTTAAAAACATTTCATTTCTATTCAGAGCACTGACTTAGTCAATCAAGTTCAACATTTCCAGTCAGATACAAGTTTCCTATTCAAGCCAATTACAAATGACTGTCAAATTTATATATAGTTTGAATTGGCCTGGGATAGCCAGGTGGTCAGGGTGCTTGACTCGCAATCTGAGGGTCACTGGTTCGAATCCCCATCCCACTAAATTGTTTATTTACTTTGTTTGTTCCAGTCATTCTGCAAACAGTTAATTATCATGCTAAAAATGTAAACTGATATATCTAGCTTTATTTATCAGTTACCCTTGGTCATAAAGCAGTTAATAATTCTTCTCAGATATACTAGGCCCGGCATGGCCAGGTGGTTAGGGTGCTCGACTTGCAATCTGGGGGTTGCGGGTTTGAATCCCCATCACACCAAACATGCTTACCCTTTCAGCCGTGGGGGCATTATAATGTGACGGTGAATCCCACTATTCATTGGTAAAAAAAGTAGCCCAAGAGTTGGCGGCAGGTGGTGATGACTAGCTGCCTTCCCTCTAGCCTTCCACTGCTAAATTAAGGACAGTTAGTGCAGATAGCCCTCGTGTAGCTTTGCACGAAATTCAAAACAAACAAACATACATAGTTCGGAATGTGCTCTTTATATTGGTTATAAACATGTTCTCAGGAGAAGTAGATATGAGTAGACAAGAGGTTTCAAAAGAATGGAGTAGTGGGCGGAACTACCCTCATAGGTTTGCAAAATATATTCATACCTCAGCAAATCAAAAAATGTGGAAGGTTTTTATTTTATATTCTAGTGTGTAAATGTCTAAAGTTTGAGTTTCTATTTCGTTAACCACTATAGACACTGTATGGTAGGTGTAATAAAATACAAACGGAACAGTAAGACAAAAAGGCATGACGCATGGCACACAAAAAAGTAAATTTGACATTTTTTCATTATTTTCTTTCAAACTGAGAAAGTAAAACATATATAATATTAAAATTTGGTTTATAAACTACACTCTGATGCCAGTTTTATTGTCATATGATGATATTAAAGTTGTTTAATTAAATATTGAAAATAACTCTCAAATGTTGTGAGAGTTGCCCTTTGACCTGTCCATTGAGATACAGTTAAAGTTACCATTACAGATGAATTAATAGCCCTTGCAAACAAGCCAACTCCATCCATTCCACCAACTCTTCCTTACATGTTAATCTAAGCCTGATACTCAATGACCTACTTATAATTTCATCCCTACACTTAAGTCTTGGCATTATGCCTGACAGATTTAATCTATTATGACTCTTTCTTCTGAATGCCATTATTAATGTACTTAACAGCTAGCTCTTCTGCTCTACCCTTCTCTACTTCATTAGTGCCTATGTGCACTACAGAGATTGTATCTGTACTAGCACCCTTTACTATGTCACGTGCTCTGTCAGTTATGTTCTCCACCTTTACCCCTGGTTAGCTTAACCTAACTCTTTCCTTCTTATTTACCCCACAGACAATCTTATTTACATGCTGTACTGCAGAATCTCCTATAAAAATAACATACTTATGTTTTCATTCCTATCTCTACCTGTCTGTTTTTTTATTCTTCCCTCCTCAAATTTATCATCTACATAAGCCAAAGGCTGTAATATATTCTTTACCAGAGTTTGCTCTTTATACTTAAATCTATCATCACTAGCTCTATTATTATTGCTTCCAACCTTCCGCCTGTATCTCTTGCGTGCAGAAGTTCAATTTACTTTATAAATCCAACTGCCATTTCCCACAGTTTACTCTTCTCCTTTTCCATCACCTCTATCCTATATTTATAACAGCCTCCAATTCTCCTCCAACCTACAAATTCTACAAACAAATTGTTCAGCTTCACTGCTAACTTTATTAGATGTGCATGTCAGCCCGAATTCCCAATTTACCAATAACTGCATAAGCTTAAGTTTTAGCTTGTCATGTTACCCTCACTAAGTCAAATAGTATTAAACTGTAGATAAATGTACCACCATATTCTCTGTTAACCAGTACTTATACATCTAATTACCAATATCAGTACCATGGATATGATTTACAACATGTTTCAAATTACACACACTAAATCCTAATCTAAACAATTTACTAGCAGTTATCAAATAGTAACAGAAACATTAACTTAATATTTTAAGTTAAACAAATTCTTCTTTTTTGCTTAGCTAATACTAATAAACTCTTAGCACACAGGATCACCTACAAAAGTTGTAATATTTTCAAAATGAGATCCAAAACTCAAGCGCTTTCGAATAGTTGACTGTTCTTCTTCTTCTATTCGAAAGCGCTCGAGTTTTGGGTCTCATTTTGAAAATATTACTAATTAACTGTAGTAGTTACCTAAAAATGCCTGCAGATTTAGTATTAAGCTTAATGCTGTAACATTAGGCTTAGCTGTACTTGTAGTAATGAAATTTAAGTGTGTCATCCAACTACATTAACTAAAATACTCTAAAATAACAACTATAAACTTTACAAATATAGAAATAATGTTTATCTTCTCCAGAAGAATGCTATAACCTATAACTATAATTATTTCTTTACTTAGAGTTCAAATCCATTATTTTCTACAGTTTCCTCTATTTCTGATCTTATCATACTGCCAGTGGTCTCTGAGCGTGTCATACAGCTGGTAATCTCTGAATCTATCACACTACTACTAGTGGTTTCTGAGTTTATCATACAGCAAGTAGTCTCTGAGCTTATCACATAGCTACAGTTATAACTTGCAGTAAACAAGGTATTCAAAACATGTGTTTTATATTTTGTACTTATTACTTTATAGTTTAAGAGTTGAACCAACAAAAGGAAATTAATTTTAAATTTCTCTATGTAGGTTAGCACGCTGGAAAATGCCCATAGTATTTTCAATGATGACACAGAACAGCTCATTTCCCAAAGCACTCCACCAACTTGTGCCTCATTGCGGCTGCCACGAAGCTCAAACAACAACACTAGTGGTTGCTCGCTGAATGTTAATTCAGATGGTGGCAACAGAGTGACTCAGTGGAAGAGTGTCAGCTTGGTTCATTCAGATGAATCAGGAAATGCCCCTACAGAATCAAAACCTGGGGTCTGCAAGGTAATCAATCAAGGTGCATTTCAGTCCATCAGCCTTGAACCTTGTGAAAGTATAGACCATACAGGAAACATCACCTCAACAGTACAGACAGTTGTGACAATATCAAAACAAATTACTCCTGCAGCTCTCCAACAGTGCTTGAGGTAAGTTATCTGTTGTAGCTGAATTTATGTTGAAGTCAATGGTATAAGATCTGTTAACCCTTTCGAGTTG